TTGGCAGGACTAGCTATCCAGGAAGCCCCACAGATTCTCCTGTCTCTGTTTTCCCAACGTTGGTGCTATAGGTGTGCTTCACCCACGCTTGGCTTTTATGGATGCTGAGGCTCAGACTCAAGTCCTCATGAGTGCATGGTAAATGCTTTACCGACTTAACCTTGTGGGTGAAAGTTTCCTTGGACAGAAGCCACACCTTCCATTAATCTTCTACATGGCTGATTATGTCAATGACTTAGGGGAGGTTGAAATGCTGCACCACCCACGCTTGGCTTTTATGGATGCTGAGGCTCAGACTCAAGTCCTCACGAGTGCATGGTAAATGCTTTACTGACTGAACCTTGTGGGTGAAAGTTTCCTTGGACAGAAGCCACACCTTCCATTAACCTTCTACATGGCTGATTATGTCAATGACTTAGGGGAGGTTGAAATGCTGCAGATGCAGAGACTAATTCCAACGTATCTTGGGCTATCTCTAGCCCATAGTCTAACCTGATATCCTTGTTCCACCTGATTGTCAGGTGAATCCTTTTGGAATGCATTCATATAGAAAGCTGGTATTTACCACCAACCTAAAATGTCATCAGATAATACTTGTGCCTGTAGCTGAGATTCCTCCATTTTGCTGTAACCCACCTACCAATGTGATGTTTCCACCACTGAATTTGAAAAGTGTCTTGCTCTATGACTTTTTTTGTTATGTTAATATAAAAACTTCATAAAACGGTTACCATGTTGGAACATGGAATTTACGGTAACCTAAATCTGTGTTTCTGGGACATGGTCATTCATAATTGGCTTTAGAACTGAACCGTCTCTTCCCCTTTGAGGTAAGAATTGTGGTTTTGTCAACGGCCTTCTCCTGAGCCCAGCCACCATCTGCCTTCTTGTGAAGCGAGTTTGCTTACCGGATTCAACATTTTCATCAATGAAAGTGGAGATGACGCAGGAAAGCGATGAGTAACTGGAAGACAAGAGAGCAAAGCTGATCTTCTCAATATGTTTTCAAAGCATCTCTTCAAAATATTGTAGAAGAGATTGGCCTGAAGAATCCATATTTGGCCACCACACACACACACACACACACACACACACACACACACACACACTCTGAGAAAGCCTCAAATGTGGATCATTGCGGGTTTTTGTCAGCTTGTTCATTTTGTGGTACTGGGGGTCAAATGGAGGGCCTGACGCTACACAAGAACTCTGGCCCTGAGCTACATCTCAGCCCCATTTTAAAGGGCACAGTAACGGACAGCTTTCTGCTATTGTGCTGAAAAAACAACTCAGAGCAGCACAGGAGAGAGCCCACAGCCCTTCACACTTGTCAAGGGGTGACTCTCAAAGGATGGCTGTGAGTGGTTCTTCATTTGGACCAGGAGACTAACAGGGTGGCCTTATCAAGAGGCCTCAACTACAGGTAGAGACAGGGCTACAGCCGACCCAGTAGATTTATAGTTACCTTAACTTAGAAGACACAAAAGAGGGCTGACGGAAGAATTCTCCAGCTGTTTCTGAACATGATTAGGATGATTTGGTTGCAGGCAACAGAAACTAATCTGATTAATGGTATGCAAAAAAAGTTATAGAGGGAGGAGGGTAGTGTTGGCTGAAAGGTGCGGATGGGAGAAGGGCACTTACAGAACCCCAGGAGGCCTGGGGAGCATTCTTCCAGGAAAGCCAGAAAGCCACCACAGGGATCGAGGTACAAGCACAATGGCTGTCTTTGTCAGATGGTGCCTCTGGGGTGAATCAGCTGCTCACCCTCAGGCTCCCTGTGCTTCTCTTCAGGCCAAATTCCTGACAGGCAAGCCCCACTTAAACGCCCAAGGAACTCTCCCAACTTTGCGTAAAGGGGGATCAGTAGTTCCCCAGAGCAGCACTGAGGAGGGGAGGGAGGCAGGCAAGCAGGTGAAGCCAGGAGAGCCTCTGATACTTGAAGTTCCTCAGCCACCCTGTGCTTTCCAGATAGTGCCTCCCCTGAATTGCAGCAGGGCAGTGGGAAGCGGCTCTTCACTCATTCACTCATTCATTTATTCATTCATTCATTCATTCATTCATTCATTCAATAAGTACTGTCTGTCCACATGTGAAGAAGAGTGGCTTGTTTCTGAGACACAGCAAAGGGCAAAAGGGAGACGATTCCTGCCTTGTGGAATTTCCTTTTCCTTTTAAATTAACTAGATTTGCAGAAGTGAGACTGGAGAGACGGCCCAGCAGTGAAAGGCACTGGCTCCTCTTGCAGAGGACCCAGGTTCGATTCCTAGAACCCATATGGTGGCTAAACCGTCCACACCTCCAGTTTCAGGAAATTTGACACCCTCTGCCCACATCTACAGGTAATGCATGACATGGGTGCACTTACATCCATGCAGGCAATGCATATAAAATAAAAATAATAAAATTAAAAAATATATATTATTTTTATTTTGTGAGTATCCGAGTATTGCCTGCAAGTAGGTAAATGCACCCATGTCATGCAATGCCCACGGAGAACAGAAGAGACTGTCAGATTCCCTGGAACTGGAGTTATGGACAGTTGTTAGCTGCCATGTGAGTGCTGGGATTTGAACCCGGGTCTTCTGCAAGAACAGTCAGTGTTCTTAACCCGCTGAGCCATCTCTCCAGCCCCTAATAATATTTTTAAAAATAAAAGAATTTCAAAAGTAACATGTGCACCTTGTAACAGATAAACTAATACACACACAGTAGGCAAAGAACAATTTGACAAGAGTTACATGGCATTTCATGCAGTGAGAGCATTATTAATTATTAGAATATTTCCCATCCAGTGGTCATTCTAGTTGTTTTCTGTGCCCTACTCCTATAAACAATGAGAGCTACACACACACACACACACACACACACACACACACACACACACTGAGGTTGATAGCTCATTTTAATATATGTATGTGTATTAGCTCTATCTATCTATCTATCTATCTATCTATCTACCTACCTATCATCTATCTCTCTATCTATCTGTCTATAGATACTGTATGCGATTGCTTTTATTTCTAAAAAAAAGTTTCTTCCAATAGGATTATATCAGGGATAAAAATGCCAACTCACCTTCACAAAATTTGTGCTAATTTGAGCACCAATTTTTGAGTACTAGGTTTATTAGTGTGTTTTTGCTAATCTGATGATAGATGGCATCAGAGTGTTCTAATTTGAATTTCCCTAGCCACCAGAAAGGCTGAATACTCTTTTAGACACCCATTTTTTTCTTTCTGTAAAACTGCCCAATCATGGGCTTTCACTCTTTCCCACTGGGCTGCTGTGGTCCTGAGCTTCGCTGAGGCTCTGTCTGCACAACACAGGAACACAAAGCTTCCCTCTGCCTCGGGTGCTGTGCAGCTTCTTCTCAGCGTGGCATTTCTTTTCTCTTCGTTAGTGTTACACATAGTTACTTAGTTGGGTATGGGAAATGTGTCATGTGTGTGTTAAAGAAAAGATCAAGGCCCCAAATCGTGAGCCTACCACTCAAATTCAAGTATCTCAGCAAGGCAAACTCCAGACGCGTGCCTACCCAGCAGAGGTTGGGAAATAAGTGCATTTGCCATTTATGTCTGACGTGAGGCATGCTTGGCTGTGCCTCATCGACTGGTTCAAATTCACAGTCCGGACACAGTCTGTACTCAGTCTGTATTGGCTAGTTTGGAAAATCTCACAAAAGGAGAGCGGGACACAGGGAGAAGGGGTTGACGTTAGCCATTCCAGGACACTGTGACAGTTGGCTTAGAGCACTGGGCCTGGGGACAGTCCAAGGAGTGGATTACATCTTGTGGAACAAACACTCATTTCTTAACAAAGGGACTGGAGGGTGGGGTGGACGTGAGCAGAAACTCACAGACAACTGCTAAATCTGTTTGATAGAAAAGAGTAAATCTCTCATGTGTGTTTGTATTTGACTATCTTTCATTTAAAGACTTGTATATTGGGGCTAGAGAGATGGCTTAGCAGTTAAGAGCACTGACTGGGTTCAAATCCCAGCGCCCACATGGCAGTTAATGACCATTCGTAACTCTAGTTCCAGGGGATCCAACACCTTCTTCTGTCCTCCATGGGCATTGCACAACTCAGGTGCACTTTATATGCATGCAGGCAATACACTTATATACATAAAATAAAAATAATGAAATATCTCTAAAAACCCAAATCAAAACTTGTATATCAAATCAACCTGGGTAGGAGTGTAGTCGCAGGTAGACCTTCAAGTTCAAGACCCTGGACTGAAGACCCAGCACAACACACACATACACCCCTCCCCATATACACAGATATACTCGCATACACATACATGCCACATACACATACATACACACTCATACAAATACAAACATTTATACACAGACACACACACTCCCACATATACACATTCAGACACACTCATATACATATACACACTCACACACCACACACACCACACATACTCATATACACACACAGACCACGTACACACATGCCACACATACACACACTCAGACACATCACACCCATATACCCCCACACACATACCCCCACACCACACACACACACACACACACACACACACACACACACAGACACTAACCTGCTTTCCTCCAGGACTGGGTTTCCACCTTGCACAAGGTTTGCCCCACTCTGGGGGAATACATAGTTGTTTCTCTAACCCATTTTCCATACAGAAGTCAGAATGACCCTCAACTCCCCAGCTTAAAACACTTGGCTACATCTCACTGCCCTAGATATGCATTGAGTCTTCAGGGTGGCCTAGAGGAATCTGAGCAGAGAGAAGAGGACCCCATGTGGGCCACAGCAGAGCTGGTCAGTACGGGATGAGGCAGCCTGGCAGCTGTGGCTCACTTCAGTTCAGAGGAAGCTTGGAGTTCACCATGAGCTGCCCTAACTCCTGCTTCCTTTGACTCCATACCCAAGACTCTCACTAGCTGACCTTGAACCCCAGGGGCATCTCAGTGACCTTGAAACGTATTTTTATTATTTACATCCTGCTAGGATTTGTATCCTTAGTGGGTTTTAATTGTTGCTTCCTGAGTCCCTCTGGGCTAGCGGAAGCTGTTTGTGATGAACCCATAGCTCCCCTGCCAGGAATCCCCAAAGCACCTCTTACTCTGGGGAGCAAAGCTCAGCAGCTCGGTCCCTAGACACTCCCCTTGGTCTCTAATGTGGGTGAAGTACCAGTCCCACTTACGGTTCCGAAGCCCTGCTGCCCACAGGGAGCATTCACAGAGGACACGAGTGGAGTGGAGGAATGAGTGTTACACTGATATCTGAATTACAGGACAGCTGAAGGCTGGTCACTTTCTGAGCCTGAATCTTGAAAGCTCTCATGACATCTGGGGCTAACCATTTTCTCCCTATGGGCTCAAGTGCTTTGGTAGGGAAGCCTGCCTTTGGTTCCTGGGGCAGTTGTGGGTACCATGACAACAGCACTTAGATTCCAAGCACTTCCTGTTCTGGGTTCTGGTGTGTTAGCTCAGCCCAAAGGTTTGGGCTCTCTGCTAAGGGCCCTCACTGGAGCGTGAGACAGGCTTTGAGTGACAGCTTTCCACTGGGACTCACGGCTACCATGTGCTTCCTCCCAGCCTCCTTTTGTAGGTATGGTGCTTACTGTTCCTCAGGGGACCACGTTAATATTCTTAGTATATTTACTAAGGCCTCTGTGAGGATTGAACCGCAAATCCTTAGACACTGTTTGCAAAAGAAAATATTCGACTGGAAGACTTCTAGATCCCACTCAGTTTGACATTCAGGGGTGCTCTGATTCTAGTTTTCTGTATCCAGAAATGTTTTGATGAAAAATATTTCAATAAAGATCACATTTTAAACTATTGAAAAGTATGCCTAATGCGTTACTTTGTTAGCGGGTGAGTTTAGATCTGCCCTCTCTAAGAACTGCCTAAAAGTCAAGATGTGA